TTTCAATTGAGATTTTTTGATGGAAAATATTTCCATAAAAAATTTTGATGGAAGAAAAATTTCCTCAAAATTCTTTACGAAATTTAAATTCCATCGAAATTTTGACAGAACATATTTCCATCGAAAATTTTAGACAAAAAAATATTTATGTAAAATGTTAAGAGTGTTAGTGTTAATAGTGTAGAAGTCCCACATTGAGTGTGTCTATTTGTATTCTTCAATTGGTTTGCTATATAATAGCACCAATGTTGTGTAGTTTAATATAACAAGGATTACTATCATTTCCTCTTGTATCTATGATATTCAACATGGTATCTAGAGCCTAACAAGAGGAATCTTAATCCGTTTAACTTAGTTCTATTTTCCATAATTTCAATATGGTTATAGAGAGATATCACCCTCCTTGAGGGGTTCCCGTTGCTATTTCTTTTTCGGGTTTTTCTTAGTATGCTCTGTGACTACAGCTTAGACTGATCTGTCACATCAGAAAAGAATGATCCTTGGGAAGTTGTTGGGTTGACCACCGTTGTCATTGACCGACCACCGTTGACCGCGTCGTCCACCGTTGACAGCCGTCTCCGGCGACTTTTCCGATGACTTTTCCGATGACTTTCCGGTGACTTTTTCGACGATCCACCACCGTCTCCGACGACTTTTCCGACGACCCACTGCCGTCTCCGGCGACTTTTCCGATTCCGTGAAGCTTTGTTTTTCTTTAATCTTCATTCTTCCCAAGATGGAGTATTTATACTATTCATCATCCATCTTGAGGGGGAGCACTGTCCAAGTTGCTGATGTTGTCTCCGCTGATGTTAATTCTGACACCGAAGTTCCTCTTGAGGGGGAGCACTGTCCATGTTGCAGATGGTCATTCTAGCACAATTGTCTTTGCCGATGATAATTTCGGCACTGTTTAGAAGTTCCTGTTGTGGGGGAGCACTGTCCATGTTGCTGATGGTCATTCCAGCACAATTGTCTTTGCCGATGATAATTCCGGCACTGTTTAGAAGTTCCTCTTGGGGGGAGCACTGTTCATGTTGCTGATGGTCATTCCAGCACAATTGTCATTGCCGATGATAATTCCGGCACTGTTTAAAAGTTCCTCTTGAGGGGGAGCACCGTCCATGTTGCTGATGGTCATTCCAGCGTAATTGTCTTTGCCGATGATCATTCCGGCATCTTCCATGTTGATGTTCATTTCGACGCCATTTTTAGCACATTGTTGATTTTTGGTTTCTCATTTAGGAGATTTATTTTGATGTTATGTTACTTGGTCTTTCTTGTAATAAGCTTGTAGCATAGTCAAGGGGAAACCACGGCTGCTCACCAACTGTTAAATGAAATGTCTGAGAGGGATCTTGATGCTGATGTCCTGGTCAGCTCAGTTGTCTTTGCCGATGATAATTCCGGCACCATCCATGCTCTGATGTCCATTCCAGCACTGTCTCTTTATCAACTATTCACACTGATGGTCATTCCAGTTGATTTGTTGTACTTAGTCATTTCATTTCGTTGATGTAGCATTGTTGTTTTTTGGTTCCTAATGGGAGTATTATTTATGTATCAAGCTTGTAGCATATGATCTATATGCTAAAGCTTGAGGGGGAGTGTTAAAAGTGTTAGTGTTAATAGTGTAGAAGTTCCACATTGAGTGTGTCTCTTTGTATTCTTCAATTGGTTTGCTATATAATAGCACAAATGTTGTGTAGTTTAATATAACAAGGATTACTATCATTTCCTCTTGTATCTATGATATTCAACATAAAAAATTTTGACGGAAAAAATATTTCGTCAAAAATCTTTATGTAATCTAAATTCCATTGAGTATTTCGTACGGAAAATATTGCGTCAGAATTTTTAATAGAATTCTTTTCTTCGAAAATATTTAAGAAATTATTTTCGGCAAAACATTTGACGAAAACTAATTTCATTACAAATTTTGACAGAAATTTATTTCTGTAAAAATTTCCATGGATAAAAAATTTTGTTGCCTTTCAATGGAAGGTATTTCAACAAGAAAATTCTTTTTTGATAGAATAATTGCGTTTTGTAATGAAAAAATTTCGTCGAAAATATGATATTTTGTAGTAGTGTGAAAAGTACATAAACAATTTTGTTAAAAATTTTAAAATTAATTTAATTTGTAAAATATAATAATTATATTATTTTAAAAAAATTTTAAAATGGTAAAAATATCTCCTTATCCCTCCATTTTTCTTTCTTACCATCTTTTAACTCCCAAACAAGACAAGAGAATACCCTTCAATTTCCTTCCCCTCCTTCTCCGTTGGATCCTCGTCCTTTTCTTTCTCTCCAAACTCCCAAACAAAACTTAGTGTAATTTGCTTGATAAGAAACTAATTAAATTGTTTTGCCCAATGCATTTAATGTCTTTCAAATTGTGAAAAATAAAATTGTCTCATACATATACATAAAAGTATGCAAGGTCATGCTTTCTCTCTCTCTCTCTCTCTCATCTCTTTATATGGCCCCACATGGATCTCACACACTTTTACATGTGTGTAAGAGATAATTTTATCTCATGTAATATAATAAATATCAAACACATATATATATATATATATATATATATATATATATATATATATATATATATGAGGTAGGATTATTTGACACCAGTGTCAAATTTGAAATTTGACACCTCATTTGAGAGCCATTAGATAAAAAAAGATCAATAGTGTCACATGCTTACAAATCAGAGTCGTTGATCTTTTTTGATCTAACGACTATCAGATGAGGTGTCAAATTTCAAATTTGACACCGATGTCAAAGGATCCTATCCCTATATATATATATATATATATATATATATATATATATATATATATATATATATATATGTATATATGTATGTATGTATAATTAATATTAATTCCCAATAAATGATACCTGTTAATTAACGAAAAATCAACGGATAGAATTTGGTGTCAAATTTTTAATTTGACACTTCATCTGAGAGTCCTTAGATCAAAAAAGATCAATGGTGTCACATGCTTACAAATCAGAGTCGTTGGTCTCTTTTGATCTAATTGCTCTCAGATGAGGTGTCAAATTTCAAATTTGACACTGATGTCAAATGATTCTACCTCATATATATATATATATATATATATATATATATATATATATATATATAGGGTTTAGCAGATGTAAAGTGACCGCACCTAAGGATTGGTGCAGCCATATAAAATTATGTCGTTTTATAATATAAAAGCATTAAATATGGGGAATAATAACCATACAAAGATGAAAATAAATATAAAACATTAAATATCGAGAATCGTAACCATACAAAGTTGGAAATAAATATAATATTTTTATTTTCTACAATTAATTTTAAATGCGATCTTCCTTTATCCCACCCAAAACGACGTAGTTTTTAGGTGACTGCACCAATGCTTATATACAGTCACATTACAAATCATTTTTCAATATATATATATATATATATATATATATATATGTTGAACAAGAAAAACTATACCATATTAAGAATAAGATAAGTTGCAAAGAGTTTGAACTTGTGATTGCCTATATATTCGAAGATAAAATATGTTAGGATTTTATTTTTCTTGTGTCATATAAGATAAATTTTTTCTCCTACTCTCATAATAAATGTAGGGACCCTCTTTATTTTTTAAAAAAGAAAAAAAATAGAACACAAAAATCGAAGTGAAAATAGGAAATAAAATTTCTCTTATATGACATAAGAGAAATAAAATTCAATATGTATATGAATTTATAAAAAACTTGCTCGTTAACCGTCAGCCTATTGGAATGGAGGGACTCCCTTGGATACAGTTAGAACAAGGGCCAGTGGGCCACAACTTATCAAGGGATTACGGTCTTTATTATTTTGGGCCATAGGTAACTTTAGGGCCGCGATCGGTGACCCATTAGCATAATGCTCTTGTGCCATAGGTAACTTTAGGGCCGCGGACCCATTTTTTTTTATATATATATATATATATATATATATATATATATATATATATATATATATTGTAGCTTTCATGTCGTAGCTTCATCTATATTATATTTCAATTTTTTAAAACACCATTTATCATTCCCACATCAAAATATTGTTTATGAAAAATAATTTTTGTCTTGATACCTAGAAAGTATTAATTCCATAATGAAGATGAAAATGTGCATTTCGAACTTTCAAAAGTGCATTTGCAAAAATCCGAAGTCAGACCGCGTTTAAGTTGGAATAGCTTTTTATCAGCTGATCTATGTACTTGGTGGTAGATATAAGTATATCTTAACTCATTATTAATCGACGTATCTAAAATTTGTAACAGACAAGATCCATGAAAATATTTGTAGCAAAAGAAGTTTTCTTTCTTTAATTTTAGTCAACACGTAATTTATTTATATGTATCGGATAAAAAGGACGAGGAAAGAAATACTAGTGCCTCATAAAAAATAAAACTATTTCCATATTTTTTAGGGGACAATGCCGTATATCTTAAATTTGAGTAGGGTATCTAAAAAAAAATAAAAAATAAAAAAATTGAGTAGGACATTAACGCAACACAGACTTAGGAATGAGAATTAGCGGTGTGCCTAATGGCCTCGTGGACTAGCCCAATAATTACAGGAAAGAAAAGTGGGAATAAAATTGGTGGGCTTAGGAAAGCAGACAAAAACAAACAAATAAAGAAAGAAAGAAAAGAAAGCAGTGTAGTACATTGGGCATGCATGGTTGAAGGGGAAAAGGATTCGAAGTTTGTACTACATGTACTACAATCACCAAACTGCATAAATCCAATCGAGTACGAGTACTACCACCATTGCATAGAATTATTTGTTGGATATTTTTGTGTTTTCAACAAATAAAAAAAAAAAAAGTCGTAACATTTGAATATTATTAGGAAAATAATTTGTGTAAAAGGACAAGTAATTAATAATAACAATAATAATAATAATAATAATTATTATATACAAGTAATATAATTTATAATTTAATTGATTGCTATTTGGTTGTTCACATGGAGAAGCAACTGCCCTTGTTTGTCGTAAGTTTGATGGATGGTGTGAGGGGCGGCGCAGTCTTGGAGTTGGAACGAACGGTCTCATATCTCCGTCGTGCAGCTGGCCTTGGAAGGTTCTCCGGCACGATGGTTTCAAGCGAGTGGCCACGCCAAGGTGGGCACGCCCTTTTCTCGCTCCATTTGGCACCACCACCAACCGAAACTGATGAATAATTCGATTCCTCCTGAGCAACAGCTTCATGAACGGCTATCACCGAATTGCACACAATTATGGTGCAGTACGATGTCACTCCCATAAAAAAGCATTGCCTTCTCCAACATCCTTCGTTTTTCACCCTTTTTTTCACAACCAATAAATAAAATACAATTAAACATTAATTCGGGCACGGTTTTCAATTAATTGTAAGTGACATAACATGAGTCAAATATATAACATGTGTAACCCAACGAAAACATTAACACATGTACAAACTAAAACTTACAATGAAACATGAGGTGGCTTAACGGGGACGAGAGAAGCGTTTGAAGTTGGAGGGGGGAGACTGAGGCAGCAATTGGTTCTCATGGTGAAGAATCTTCCTAGCTCACTCGATCCCTCTCTTTATGTGTTTTGTGTACTAAAAAGAGTTTGAAATAGAAATATAAAAAGAGGAAGGAATACACATATAGCTAGATATATAGGGTTATAGCAGAAAAATATGAAAAAATAATGAAGCGTGGGCGTGGAAAAGTAAAACTGTAGGTGAAAAAGACCATTGGGGTGGGAGTTCGTGGTTGGACACGTGGGTTGGCGTATTCCAAATGCCAAAGCCATATTCTTGATTCTTGAGTAGCTTCATGGTGGTTCCTATTGCTTGCCGTCTTTGCAGCAATCTCGCATTGGGTAGTAGAAGACAAGACAGAGGAGTCACAATCTATGTATCTTTCCTAAAAATTTGGAATTCCCATTCCTCACCCCGAGCACCAACTTCCTCAATCCCCGCCCTCGTTTATTGCCTGCTCATGTCATTTGTAACGTTCAAACGTCAAACTTTGACCCTCTGTATAATTTAATTATCTCCAAAAAGCGCCCACAGACACATATACATATACAGGGGAACGATCTTGTGACAACCAAATTGTGTCATTATAAAGTGACTATCAATCAATCTCACCGTTAGATCAATTATGTTGATCCAACGGTTATATTTATTTTCATCTTTGTATGGTCATGATTCCTCATATTTAAAGTGAAAGCATTAAATATGAGAAATCATAACCATATAAAGATGAAAATAAATATAACCGTTGGATCAATATAATCGATCTAACGGTAAGATTGATTGGTAGTCACTTGGTAGTAACACAACTTGGTTGTCACAATATCCTTCCCCATATATATATATATATATATATATATATATATATATATATATATAATATATATATATATATAAAATACAAATATTATGTTATAGTAATGAGATTTTTGTTACATAAGTATGGAGTACATATTTATAATATAATATTAAAGTTATTTTTTGTACTGATGTGAAAGAGAGAGAAAAAAATAACTTTAATATTATAATTATGTATTCCTTGAAATACATAAGTTAAAAATCGATTGTAGGACAAAAAGGATGTTCGACATCCCTCTCTCTTTCTCTCTCTATATATAACGGTTTACCATTTCTCTTGTTATATTAGAAACAATAAATCCTATATTTTTTACACCATCTATTTTTTTTAAATGTGTGGGTCGAATAAATCATTTATCTCTGAGCGTATGTGCACCTGCAGAGAATAATATTCCCTTATATATATTGGTATGATTTCTAGTTTATTTGAAAGAAGATATTTCAATTGCGTAGTTTCCATTTATTTTATCAACTGATTAAACAATTAATAAATAAAATTTAGTTTTCCTAGTGGTCAGTGGTCACACCAGCAAGAAAAAGTGTAGCGTATGTGAATTCCTCTCAGAAAAAATTGCCCTTTTCTAATGAAATATATCATGAAAATTACAAACCCCGCCTCTGGTGAAAGTGAAACATCACCACCACGACTTTAATTTCCTTTAGCTATTTCTACTTCGCTTCTTGCTACCGTATCTGGCCAAGTCCATTGTGGTCGCCGTCTTCATCAAACCACTAGGGGGCGTTTGGTACGAGAGAAATTTTTTGGTTACTAGGTAACTAATTTTGCTGGGATGTGATTGGAAATAATTTATCCCGGAAAATTTATAAAAATGTGTTTGGTTGACAAAAATTTTACCTGGAATATTTTGATAAGTTTACTGAGTTGATGTTTGGTTGATTATATAATAGTAGTAGGAAAGAGGGTTATTTTACAAAAATAACCCCCATTTACTTTTTCGTTCAAATATAATATTATACAATTTTCACCTCAGATATCTTAGGAAGTGGGTGGTGTGTGAGGTACTCCATTGATATTTGAGAGTGGTTCAAATCAACGGTTTCTTCCTCACGCATGACCTCTCTGATCTGCCTCTGGACGACTGGTAATGCATATGGAGTCTTCCTGAAGACATTGTTCTGGGCTTCGTTGACGGAGACTGCGAGCTGCACACAAAGACTCCCAAGTTTACTCTTCAGTTCGAGTTTAGTTGAGTTTTTGTCCGGTGTTGGAGACAACCTTGTATATCTGTCGGTAAGGATGAAAAACCTTGTTGTCCACTATATTTTTTTATTTTTTTATTTTTCCTTCCACCTTGCATGTTCGATCTTTGTGAGGAGATATGGCAACATCCTGGGTACATACTTTCAAGTGTAACTCATGACCCAAATAGATAACCTGTAGTTATGCATGTTTGGTTGTTGAAACTTTAAATAGTGGTAGGTACCAGAAATAATTTAAAAATTTGGTACTCTTTGTCCATGGTTTTTAAAAGAATGAACAATACATGGTAGGGGTGGGGGGAAAATGTCCTACGGCTTCCTAATTGTGTAGGACAAGATTGGGAATGTAGATGCAATTTAATTTTTTTTTTGCTGTATGTGGGCTTACATATTTTTCTGTTATTGTTGTTGCAGGGGAACATTAATTGTTTGGGTGTGATAGCCTCTTTCGTTGAAGGACATATGGGTGGAGATGAGGTTGGTAAGTGGGGGTATGAAAGTGTTTATTCTGGTCATTCGTCATCTTCATCGTCATCGAGGGTGACAAAGTGTGGGTGTGGTAAGAAGGCTGTTTTGCGTAGGTCTTCGACTAATAAAAATCCAGGTAGGAAGTTCCTTGGGTGCCCGAACTTCTCAACAAATGAGAAGTGCAACTTCTTTGAGTGGGTTAATGAACCGACGTGCGTCAATTGCATGAAGAAGGACACCTTGTTGAAGCTTTTGGCTGTCTTGTTAATTACTCAAAGTTTAGTAATAGGGTATGTATTATATAAGAAGTAGTTCTGTGTGTAAGTTATAATTATGTATTTCAATTGTAATCATGTGGTATGCTGCTTTTTGTGAACTTATGAAATGACAATATGGTATGTGGGATTGTCATTATTTTGAAGCTTTGTAACTGACATACCCTAGTTTACATTTTCAAGTATGAATGTGGAGAGGATAATTACCACATATTATCGGGCATGTATGTTATTCCCCTGCCTAGATTTTCCACAAGTTATGATTACGAAGAAGATTGAATGTGCAGTATATACACATCGTTTGATATGGAATTTTTTGGTTTAATCTTTCAACTTGCTTCACCTTGTGCCTTAAATTTTTGTCTGCCACCTTCTCATCAAGTGCAGGGTGTAGCTTCAGAGTGACCATGAACAAGATTCATGATGTGGGGCCATCGATCCTCCTTCACGTACCATGAAGAAGACAAATGGTGTGGGTAATTTGTGTCTGTGTGTGTTATCATACTGTTGTTGTGCCAATATTTTTTGTCATACTTTGTATTTTGAAACTTGTATTATTGGTGATCCCTTTGTCGATTGAGATCTAATTACAAGAAGCATACGCACACATAGAAAAGAGAAAGAGGGAGAACTCAAATACCTACATCCATGACTTATCATTGCAATCGGGAAAATAAGCATCTTATCCCCACTCCAATCCTTTTTTTCAAGATTATTCTTAGAACAAGTCTTCAAGATGGAAAGCTTGTAAACATTCCTTCCTTCATATCTTTTTTTTTTTTTGGTTTTTTTATTTATTGTTATGCTTATGAATTTAACTAGGCATGCTAACTGATAATGATTTTTCAAGTGGGAGATGTTTGTCTTTTTGAGATGACCAACATCTGAGACCTTACTTTGAAAGTACAAATCTTTCCACTTGCAAAAGAATCAAATTCCCCTTCAGTTCAAGGTAATACAAGTTGGTCTTTCTTTCAAATTATTATTCTATTTGATCTGCATAGTAATGGCTGTAATTTTCTTACCTAAAAATTGTTCAATGAGATGGAATTCATTGAAGTACTGCATGTTGGATGTTTAAATATTAATACAAGAAAAGGTAAATATTAGACATGAATGCTGTATGACCAGTTGGCAATTCATGTTTTCGTACTCCCTATGAAAATGCAATGTAAATATTTCAACATTGTGCTGAGTGCATCCTTAAACTATGTGGTTCTGTGTCTTGCCATAGATGGGATGACAACTAAAAGATCTTCATTGCGGACAAGAGCGCTGAAAGAAGCTAGTGAATTCGCCTCAGAAAATCCCTTTTTCAAAGTTAAAATAAAGACGGATTATAACTTTGGACGGTGAGGTTAAACAAAAAATTAAATACATATATTTATGTATGAAAATTTTACGGTAGACCCTTTCATGTTTGATTTCACATGACATGGTCATGTGAAGGGTTATGAACATTTGATAGATAAACATTAAGGGGATAAGAAGCTTTGAGATAAAATATTGGAATATTGGTGGGAAAAAATGAAGGTTTGATTTATTTATCAAAGTTTAAGAATCCTTGACATGATCACATAATGTGAAATCACACATGAGAGATGACAGTCTCTTTATACAATGCAAGCAGCAAAAATGTAGTTATTTTTATGCTATCATTAACTGTTGGGCTTTGATCTCATAACTTGATGCAGATTGTACCACTTGTCTCCGTGAGAGACAGATCTAATAACATGATGCAGATTGTGATGTTACAGTTTGGAAAAATGTCAGCAGCAGCCAGGAGATGTACATTGCTCTCAGCAGCAGCCTTTCCACCATGCAACATAAGGATTGTGTATCTGTTTCAGTGTTGTAATCATTTACCCTGTTAGAGGACATGTGTAAATTTGACAGTACATTAAATGTTAGTATTTTGTTATTTCCATTTGTAATGCTTACAGCAGAAAAATTATGTAACCTTTTGCCCTTAAGCCCATTCAGTATAATAGTGACATGTATTTTGCTCACTCATTTTTAGTACTCTTGCTTTCAACTCGTGTGTGTTATAGCAATCTGTGAATGGAATCAAATCCCACTTCTAATATTTTTCTGTAGCAAGTGGGTTTTAGGAAAAAGTAGATCCAATGGAATGAGTTTTGTATATGATTAGTGAAATTTCAATTTCTCAAGATATTAAACAACGCAAACTTTCATTCTTATTCGACTCATGATTTAGGCTATGCTTGTTTGATTAGGCAAAGAATAAAAAGGT